GTGTCCACGGGAATCCTGCTGGTCGCCCTCCTGCCCTGCCAGGAGTGCAGAGCTCTCAGCAAGAGCCCGGGAGCCGCCCGCGGGGCTCTGCACCAGCCAGATTTCTTCCAGCAGCAGCAGCAAACTCTGCCCGTCCTGCTCCGCATGGGAGAAGAGTATTTCCTGCGCCTGGGCAACCTCAACAAGAGACCCGTTGGCTCTTTCTCCACCTCTTCCGTCAGCACCGGCCACCTACAGCCCGAAGCCTCCGCCAGCAACTTTTTTGGGGCGGCGGTGCCGCAGCTGCAGCAACTGCCGGAGCGCTCCCTGGGCAGCCCCGAGGAGGGCGAAGCCGAGAGCGAGGCCGTGGAGAGGGAGAAGCGGTCCGAGGAGCCCCCTATTTCTCTGGATCTGACTTTCCACCTCCTGCGAGAAGTCTTGGAGATGGCCCGAGCCGAGCAGTTAGCGCAGCAAGCTCACAGCAACAGGAAACTGATGGAGATAATCGGGAAATGAAGCGGCCCCTCCCCGCCTTGCCAAAGAGATTCCGCGGTTAGCACAAGAATAATTACACCGTCCGATGTACCATAGTGCTGCTCTGATGTCATCTCTTTATTTTTATATAGCTTTAAGCCTAAAAGGGTGTACTCCGAACAGCCTCTGTCCCTTGACTAGCATGCACAACCGTGTACCAAGTGCAGAAACATGAGTGTCGTTGGTAACCTCCCCTACCTTTATTTATTTCTCCATTTCCCAGTTATTCTAGTGCCATGGGTGCGTAGGGATGTGTGGGCGTTGGAAGAGATGGTGCCAAGAAGACATAACTTTTCTGCTGGGGGCAGGGAGGTGGGAGGGGGAATCTCTGTAAGCTAGTTTGAATCCACTTTTTTTTTTTTCCTGTAAACATTTTCACAATAAAACATCTTTTCAGCGCTCGGTCGATTTGGTTGTGTAAGAGAATGTTTAATATTTATATTTTTAATAAAAGCTGCAAAGTAGCGATGGCTTATAGACTTTCTTGCCTAGAGCCCCGAGGGCTGGTCTGCCTCTCCCAGTGCTTACCAGAGTAGGGTCGCTGAGGGACACCCACTTCACGGGCACCCAGAGCCACGGGGAACCCTAGATCAGCCTCGAGATGGTTCTCCCCAACTCCCTGCCCTGGAAAGCCCCTGGGGGTTCTCCCAGGGGTGCGCCCCAATGTGCTGCTGCCCTCAGCACAGGCTGCTCCCCGAGCACA